CTCAGGGGTCCTCCCAGAATAATTACTAGGACAGGGACTGGGGTGTAGCTCAGTAGTAGAGCACTTGCCTAGCATGTGCAAGGCCCTGGGTTCAACCCCCAGAACTGGAAAAAAAGTAATAATAATAATAATAATGATTCAATAGGAAGCAGCATGATGGTGTATAAATAGCTACCTATAAGGAAGTACAGAATCCAGGCCCAGTAAGCAACTAACTTTCTGTATTCTTAGGCTAGTCCCTTACCTTCTCTGTCTCACCTATAAAATGAACAGGGACAATAAGTCTTCTCTAAAATCCCTTCCAGCTCTACTATTCTGTGATCCTGGAGTAGATATGAAGGTCCAAAAGAAGTTTCTCTATGGGAGAAAGAAATCCACCGTCAACTGCAAAGTGCTATTTGAATCTGGGACATGTGGCTTTCTGTATGGTCTTGGATAGAAATATATCTAAAATAATGCTGTGGAGTGGGGAGTGGGAACACAGGACTCCAGAAAGGCATGTTCCACTCGGCTGATGGAACCTTCCTGCAGCTCTGATAAGGCTGTCTGCTAACTTTAGGAAGGCCTGCCAAGCCTGACAGCTACTTATGAAATAATTCGCCTTGGACTATGTAAAAGCTCATGGTGGAAACTGCAATCACACACACATCCTGTTTGCATTTCTTGGGGTACTGTTGACTGTTCCCTCATGGCCCTGCTTGGGGTGGGTGGCTCCTCCCTAACCACAGAGGCAGCCCACTGAGGGTTTGCCTCCTCCTTCTGTGATCCTGCCAAAAGCAGTGGCTACCTCCCGAGAGAAGCAGGACCAGTAGAACCAATGTGGATGGCCATTCTGTAACTGTGCGTGGGAGCCTGGGCTCCCTGGAAGACTCAAGAAGTGGTGCCAATAGTGTCCCGAATATGCAGATCCGTATTCACAGATGTAGAAAAGAAGTGAAGGGAAAATAGCTGAAAAGTCAGACATTGGAAGGGCATCCCTTCCACACAGGGCTGGAGAAGTGGTGCTTTTACAGCATCTTATTTAAGCTGGTGAATCACATTTCAAACATCACATCCTTTAAAATCAGAGTCTCACTGGGCCCAGCACCACGCTAGGGCTTAGTACATGTTATCCGTCTCATTTTACCTTCTCATTGGCTTTATAATCACAGTGGGTGTAGCTATTCTCATTTTGCAAATGAAGAAACTGGGGCTCAGAGAACTTCAGTGACTTGCCCAAGGTCAGAAAACTCCTCCTTGGAGCCAGCACCTGTGAGTGCAAAGGCCTAGGCTCTCCAATGGGTCCTCAGATGCATCTGCAAATACAGTACCCCTCTCTCAGCTTAGGACAGCAAGTTTTGCATGTGGGAGGGAGAGAGAAATTCTTTAGCATATGCCCAATCTTTGGGCTGAGGACTGAGGGAAGGTTGGAGAGAATTTTGTGACTGATCATGCAGTAAGAGATGGAAGTGGCCACAGAGTTCATCAAGGCCAGATGTTGTCCAAAGAAAAGGGACAGAGAGAGGAAAAGAGGGTGTCAGGGCTTATATATTGGGAAGGAACTCCAGCTCTCCAGGGGAAAGAGTCCTGTCTGATCTCATGCTTCTACACGTGGAGAAATTGGCCCAGAAAGGAGAGGGAGCCTGCCCAACAAAGATGTTATCTACTCAGGGCATGAGTTCCTTACATGTGGTAGTATGCACTTGAACTGTGCCCCTGAATTGGCAGACTTGGACACCCCCAGCCAGAAATGGCAAAAAAGTGCTCATGGTTTTCTTTTCCTGTCTTGATAAAAATATTGCCATTTTTAATACTGTTGCAAAACAAGAGAACAATAACTTCCACCTGAGATTCGCAGCGCCTTCCCCATACTTCTGGTGCCTTTATCAATCCTAACAGTGTAAAAGTTTATGCCACTCTGGAAAGTTAATGAGGGACAAGTGTTCTCCCAGAGCATGGGGAGGCATTAGGCCCTGAAGCCCCAGAACCTAAATCAGGACAGGAGACAGGAGAGGAAAGGGGGGAGGGTGGGAGTTGGTTTGGTGGGGGTGGCCAGCTGCCCACACAATTGGTCCCAGACCAGCTGCAAAGGGGTCATTTCCCTTTCTTCACTTTTGCTAGGGAGGATTGTGTTCAGGACTTGGGGGGACATGGGGAGATGTTTTCTGGAAGAGCACAAGGCAGCTGTGCACACCTAGGGAGGCCTAAGAAAAGGGGAGGGTGGGTATGGGTGTCAACCTAGGGCCATGCCCCTAAGAGCCCTGGAGGGGGAGACAAGCAGAGCTGCTATGGTCCCTTTCCAGGACCTGGCCAGGGCCAACCAGAAGGTAGAGAATCTGATGCTAAGATTGAGAAAACCTTGGCTTTAATCAGGTGGATCTGTATTCAAATCTCCCTTCTGTGGCTGAAAGGCTGCTGGGCACACTGAGGCTGCTTCCTCTGTATAACCACAGATGGTTTAGCATGTGCCAGGTACAGGAGCCACTGGCTAGAAGCAAGAGTGAGGAAAGCATCCCTGGGAAAGAGCTATTAACCAAATGATCAAGGCAAATCCACATAGCCTTGCTAAAAGGGGATAATAATAGCACCTACTCCCAGAGGAGATGTGTGGCAAGGATTAAACAAGTGAGTGTATCTAAGCACAGAGAAGCCTTCAGAAATGCCAGCTCTTATTATACCGGCTTTCCCATGGCAGCTCGGGCAGTGAAAACACTGGAACAATATATTTGTCCAGTAACTTTAGATTTTAAAAGCATTTTCTACACACATTAGCTCATCCAGTCTTCCCAAAATAGCCCTGGGAGGTACGTGCCTTATTTTCTCCAATTTCTTGTGAGGAGAGCCCAGAGAGGTTAAGTAACTTCCTCAAAGTCTCCAGCAAGAAGATTCAGGATTGAAACCTCTGCGCAAGTCCTCTGGACTATTGGCTACCCGCAGCTGTGACAGGGAAAGGCTCTGAGCACTGTGAACCCCGGGACAGGAGGAGGTTGTGGAACTAGGCACCAGGAGTCTGGGCGAGGGGCCTGGGTTTCCTGGCCTCACTTTCGCGTCCACGGGCCGGGATGTGCCCCGGGGAGGCCGTCCATCCGCTGCCTGATCCTCCCCAGACCGCCGCCAGGACGGGGTGCGGCTCTGGCAGCCGCCAAGGCCGGGGGGGACTCCTCGGGGACCCCGGCCCGGAGCTGCGCGTCCTTCCTCTCCAGCCCACGCTCCGGCTTCCGGAGGGGTCTGGCCTGCCTTCTCCGGTCTGGAGCCAGAGGCCTCCGGGCAGGCAGCCCGCGCTAGGGAACTCGCCCCCTCCCCTGTCCCCAGGAGAGCCCTGCAGGCAGCCCCCGCGAATCCGGCGCGGGCACCGGGGCCAGGGCGCCGTGACACCCACGGGCCAGGCATCTAGACGGCGGGAAGCACCCTCGGGCTACCTCGGGTGGGTCCTCGGGGTTCTCGGGGCGGCCACAGCGGGAGAGGAGCGTCGGTCGCCCCGCTCCTCTCGGAATCGCAGAGCCGCCCACCCGCCCCTCTCTCCTGGTGCCTTTGCAGTCGGCCTCGGGGGCGGAAGTCGGGGAAACCGAAGTACAAACGAGTTGAATGGAAAGCATAAGAAAGAACTAGCCAGGCTCAAAGTTCTAATTGGATCTCCCGGTCAACGTGGGGTTTCTACCTCCCCAGGCCCCTCGGCCTTTTGGCAGCTGAGCCCAGAGTGTGGGCGGCTGGCCTGACTTACATCCCGTCTGCATCCTCCGCCCACCACCCAGGTCGGCTTAAACCTGGCCTCGGAGAACAGAGAACCCACCCCTGGCCGCGTAGGCGAGGAGGGGACCAGACTCCGAGCGGGCAGTGGGTTGGGGCGCAGCTCTCGGTAAAGCCCCTGATTCTGAGCCACAATCCCCAAGCCTGTAAAAGGAGACCAATGAAGAGAGCGCAGAGTATTAGAGCATGGCAGGAATGGTTCCTGCAGCCATTCACGGGCCACGTGGCACGCATTGTTAGTTAATTGTGTGGGTGTGTAGGTCTCCTCCCTGTGCCGCCGTGGAAGTGAAGGTCCAGCCACTAGCTCAAAAGATAAGACACAGCACAGCCCCTTTGGTCTGCACAGGACTTTACAGTTTGTAATTCTTCCTACAAATATTGCATTTGAACAGTATGTGAGTCAAACTGCCTGGGTTTCATTCCTGTCTCCATCACTCCCTGGCTGGATAAACTTGATCAATTTGAACTCTGTGCTTAGTTTTCTGGTGTATAAAATATGGCTAATACTAAAATCACCTGTTTGGGTAATTGTGAAGATTAGAGGACTAATGCATGCCGGGTGCTTGGTAGAGTGCCTGGCACAGAGTTTATGTTCCCCTGGCCCTGTTAGCTTTTATGACAGAGTCCCACTGTGTCTAACACCAGCCTTCTCCCCAGGGTTCAGATGGCTTTCCAGACTTGGCCCTCTGAGGCTGAGTCAGTAGGTCTGGGGCAGGGCCTGGATCCAGCCTGTGTGACCAGCTTCCCAGCAATGCTGATGCTGCTGGCCGCCTGAGAAACTTTGGGTAGTGAGATCTTAGAGCAGAAGTGTATAAACTTGATCATGCACCAGAAATATCAGGAAGTCTTGTTAAAACAAATTACTGAGTCCCCACCCCACCCCAGTTTCTAATCCAATGGGTCTGGGGTGAGGCCCTAGGATTTGCATTTCTAACAAGTTTTCAAGTGAGACTGATGCTGCTGGCCTGACATGCCTTGAGAATTTGTTGTAGAGCATCTGGTACACATGCACTAATGTCATGCTAGGGGTTGGCTGCGGTCAGAGATCATTAAACAGCCAAGAACAGCTTTACATCCTTTGGAAAAAGAAAAGTTGCAGGGCAGGGGTTGGGACTGAGATTGGGAGCCCAAAAAGCTTCCCAATTGTCAGAAGGCTACAGCACTAAAAAGAATGAAGGAATGCCGTAGCTTCTTTCTCAGCATCCTCCAAAGAAGGCTGCCCAACCGAGCCCCCTCAGCTCACATCTTCTTATTTGGGGGTCCTTTCTCCCCAGACAATCAAGAGAACCGAGGGAAACCAGAAGGCAGCAGCAAGGCCCGGAAGGAGAGGACAGCCTTCACCAAGGAGCAGCTGCGGGAGCTGGAGGCTGAGTTCGCTCACCATAACTACCTGACCCGGCTCCGCAGATATGAGATCGCGGTAAACCTGGACCTCTCTGAGCGACAGGTACAGCCCAGGCAGCCCTACCTCCTCACTGCTCGCTCACCTGCTTCCTTCTCTCTCTTCCCATCACCCCTGCCTGGACTTTCTTTTTCTTCTCCCTCCACCCAACCAGTGGTTCTCAACTGTGGTTGTACCTGAGAATCATCCGAGGAGATTTTAATAACACTGATGTTTGGGCTCCACTCTTTGGGATCATTGTAATTGATCTGGGATGGAATCCAGACACCCAGATTTCTCAAATATCCCCCAGGTGATTCTCTGTACATCTGATCTGCTTATTCCCCAGACTTGAGCGGGTATTGGAATCCCTCGGCACGTGTTCAAATGCAGATTCCAGAACCCTGGGGTTCTGGAATTTTGCAATAATGATGAGAGGGAATGAGAATCTGCATTTGTGATAAGTTCTCCAGGTCATGAGGATATGCAGCTTGTTCCTGGGCACACTTGGAGAAAAACTTCCCTGGCCCTTTGCTGAGGCCTTTCCTCAGATCATCTCACCCTGCCCATACCCATGTTCTGATATAGAATAACACCAACAACATTCTATAACAGTATTCAGTTGACAGAGGACTCTGCCAGAGTGTTAGATTTTGAATCAGAAGATCCTGTCTGTAGATCCTGTCTCTGCCAAGTCCATGACTCTGGGGTCTCCATTTGTTAAATGAGGTCATAATCCTAGACTCAGACCAGAAAATGTGCTGATCAGAGCTATCTAAACTGAAAAGTGCTCTATAAATGTACCTAAGGATAAGGCTGATGACCCTCTGCTCCCAGACCTTTGAGGGAGGCGTGTTGGCACAGGAAAGGTGGGACATGTGAAAGGGTGGGGCCCATGCAGAGGTTCCTGCACCTGTCTGGGGCTTCATCTTGAGATACAATGTGGACCTCTCAGCTGACTGGTATGTCCTCCCTTTAGCCTCAGTTCCTGGGGTCTTGGGAAAATAGGGAGCAGCAAGTGAGGGTTTTAAGCTGGGGTCCCTGGAGTTAGTTGTACCCTGGCTAGCTTGAGCATCACCATGGGGAGGAAGTCACCAGGGCCCTGGAGTGATCAGTCTCCTTTGCTTCCTCCCTCAGGTGAAAGTGTGGTTCCAGAACCGAAGGATGAAGTGGAAGCGTGTGAAAGGGGGTCAGCCTGTCTCTCCCCATGGGCAGGACCCTGAGGATGGGGACTCTGCAGCCTCTCCAAGTTCAGAGTGAGGTTCTCCATGGAGAAAATAAAGACTAAGGACTGAGCCCCCTTCCCAACTGCCCCTTCCCTGTCCCACTTTCACCTTTCTCCCTCTGCCTCACAGTTGCCCCTCCATACCTTTCATTGACTCAGAAACGAAGCTACCCAGGGTGCCCTGATGCTTTGAGTTTCCCAGAAAGTGCTGCCCACATTGCTGGCTTAGCAGCCCCTCCCCAGGGCCCTTTGCTTCCCACACTCTTGTGGAATCATCCAGCGCCAACTGAACTGAATGAGTCTGGAAAGAGCTCCAGGGATGCTGCTTCTCAGGGTCTCTTGTCCGCCACCCACACCTCCTCCTGCCACCTTCCTCCTGCATCGGCCAGGCCTCCTCCGGTTCTGGACACCACCTGGCCTGCAGGGAAAGAAACCTTGGAACCAGTGGTGACTCATAAAAGCAAAGGAAATGATGGAGACACACACACCCTGGCCCACTTTTCCACTTTTCCTCCCTGAGCTCTACATCTGAGGCTTTGGGGGTTGTTAGTTGTCCCCAAACCCCAAGGGAAACCAGCCTGAGGAGGGCTAAAGACAACAACCCAGGGACTGCAAATCAGTAACCTGTCCCTGTCTCCAAATGTGTTGGCTGTTGAGTGAGCAAATTTATGAGCATTGACTGAAAGAAGGCAGAAAAATAGCCTGGTATAGGTCCTTATGTTCCCGTTCAGGCAGGTTTGATTGGGTGACTGAGAACAAACCCAGGACAGCACCTGCTGCTCAGCTCAATGCAGGAATACAGAGCTGGGGCTCTTGAGCAAAGGTCCCGGGAAGTGCAGCAGCGATTCCTTTTCAATCCACAATTTCCAGATTGAAAACCTCTCCAGATGCTCATACTGTTGAGAGCTGGAAAGTGGCCCCTGTGTCCCAGGGATGGAGTGAAAATATGAGGGCAGCTGGGTGAGGACCTAGCAATGTGGAACTCTGGAGTGGAAGGTTCCCTGGCTGCAGCATCTTGTGCTCTCAAAGGGCTGACTGCAAACAGGACAAGGAGACAACCTCTTTTTCCATAGGATGCAATTAAGTCCCTCTTGTGTGTCCCACAAATGCCATGACTTTGGGAAGAATGGCTAGGTTCACGTGTGGGCACTGCTCGGACCTCAGTCACATCTTCTGGGGATGCCACTTTGAGGATTGATGGCCAAGCAGCCCGAGGCAACTGCAGCCTTGGAAAAAGAACACCCCCCCAACCCCGCCCCTTGATTGGTGCTTGGTCTCTGGATCTCAGCTGGTATTGTAGAAGAGGGTCAAAAAGAATTTGGAATTTGGATTTCTGTGTGTAGATTTAATCATTCATGTGTAAAAACAACCCCACCTCCCCACCCCCAGAAAGCACAAAAGCTGTGGAAAATGACTGCCAAATGAGATGGCTGGTTGGAACAAGTATAATTCTTTTCTAAAGCATACTTCATTTATTTTCTTAAGATAACATCAAATTAACTGTACAAGGTCAATTCACTTTGTAAGAAATCTCTTGGAGAAATAAAATCAATAATAAAAAAAAAAAGTTTCCAGGCTCTTTTCTTTGCAGCACTAAGAACCACAGTTCTTGTGTGCAATCTTCTGATTCTCATCGGATGATTTCCCCAGACAATGTCTAGGAAAAACAAGAAAAGGAAAGAAATCATTGAACCCATGGTCTTCTACTTAGGTTCTTCAAAATGTAATCACTGAAAAACAAACTCCAAAAAAGAACTTTTCCCCCATACAGATGAATTGTGTTCATTTCCCATTTGTAAAAGTTTCACTTTGTTTCCCCAACCTACGACTTATCAAAGAGTCAAAGTTCAATTACCAAAAGATGAACTCTTCTATTAGTAAAGGAATCTTGACCATAAAATAACAATCCCTAGTAAGGTTCTCTCTCTCTCTCTCTCTCTCTCTCTCTCTCTCTCTCTCTCTCTCTCTCTCTCTCGATTCCAAGATTGGAGGGTGTTTTTTGTTCAGGGTAGAAAATATACATACACCAATAATAATGACATAAGGGGGAAAAAAGTCCCATATTCTATATCTTTTTAATTAAAGAACAATTTTATCTCACCAGGATATCCACAAAGGATAAATAGGACTGGCTTGGGGGGAGGGAGGGAACGAGGAGAGGAGACCTGACCAGGATTTTGCATTGAAGTAACCTAGGTCAGGTATGGTAGGTGGCTGGAAGTGACATCATCAGGACTGGCAGAGTGAAGCCGACTCACAAAAATCAATGTACCAAAGGGAATCTTAGCTCAGTGGGGTAAGGTTTAGGTTCAAAGTCAAGTGACATGAATGTCTTCAGGCACTCCAACATTCCTCCCTACAGGAAACTCAACTCTCATACTTAGGGAGACATCACCTTCTGATTTTCTTTCCATGTCCCAAATGTTCCTTGAAGATCCTTTCTCAATGCCATTGTCCTCACAGCTGGTTCCCAAGCTCTCTTCTTTCTGCCCATCACCTTCCTTACTCTTCATTTCCTCCCTAAATGATCCTATCACCCACAGTTTTTAAATTTTGGTAAAATACACATAACATTATATATGTGGTCATTATGTTACTATTCTGACAACTTTTAAGTGTGCAACTTGTTGCACTAAGTACTTTTTATATTGCTGTGTAACCATTGCCTCCATCCGTCTTCAGAACTTGGTTATCTTCCACAGTGAAACTCTGTACCAATTAAACACTAGCCTTACTCCTGTCCCCTCCCTCTACCCCACTACATTTATAGTATTTACTGTGTTGGGCACCATTTTAAATGCTTTCCATGTATGAACCAAGTTAATTCTATTAATAAACTTAAGAGGTAGTACTATCATTCCTTTTCACAGATTAGGTCCCCCAAACAGAAGTTGTATGAACCCCCAACATTTTATAGCCAATTGTATTATAAGGCCCAATTATTTTCTTTCCTCTCCACTGGGGGAATGTGCCTCCCTGACCATTGCCATATGAAGTATTCACAGCAGTGGGGGGGTGCTGTCCTACCTTGTGGATCTGCGTGACTCATTTTGGCCAACAGAATGTGAGCAGAAGTGACATATGCACTGTCCAAGTAGAAGCTTTGAGTCACGGGGTGACTTTGCCATCATTCTTTTTCCTTGAATAAACCTGAGATGGAAATTTTCCCTTTAGCCTGGGTTCTAGAATGGGAAAGATGTGGGGCAAAGCCACATCTGACTCCATGACCTTCACACTTGTCAGTGAGGATATAAATGCTTGATGTTGTAAGCCACTGGGATCTGGGGTCATGTGTCACTGTTGTACAACCTCATCAAGACTGAGTACTCCAGGGATGAAACCTATGGCTGATCCGGGATCTTTAGGTATTATATATAGTCCATTTCCTAGTGCCCTTTGTCACCTAGATGACTGCAAACACTTCAAACTCAAAATCCTGAAGGAGAAACCTCCATCTCCCTCAGCTGACCTGGCCACTCTTGCCTATACTCTGATTCTTCTTTGTTAGTGGGCAACACCACAGCCTACCCGTTCACCCATACTGTGCATCTGGGACATACCCTTGGTGGTAACGTCTTTGCTTTTCAGAACAAATCCATGACCAGGTCTTGCTCATTTTACTTGCCACAGAGGTAGTCCTCCCACCCACAACATCCTTTGTCCCTCTTCCACTGCTGCCTTTGTTCAGACTGTCAACTTTTGCATACTCCCTGTCTCCCTCCTCAGTGTTGGCATTTGATTTACCTGTGCTGGCTGAAAGGTAGCTGGGACCAATTGGTAAAAACCCACTACTGTCTCTCCAGGGGAAAGCTGTGCAGGGGAACACCCACTGGTGACTCCCTGATGGGAGCCACTGACTGTGCCCAGAAAGGGTGACATGGTAGAAAATCAAACAACTGAGAATTCCCAGACAGGAACTTTTCAGTAATGGGTTTATCTCTCCTTGAAAGAGCATCAGGGACAAACGAATGTATGGCTACCCTTCCCAGAGAGGTGGGGAGAGAAGAGAAAGAGGAAGTGAGTACAGAATTCATTTCCAAATGAAAGGCCTGAAGGGGCTCAGAGCTGCAGAAATCTGCCCACCAGCCTGGGCCAGGCCCTGATGCATTTCTGACAGCTCTTCTATTTAAAAAGAAAACCAGTGTCATGTTCAGATCCACTCACCTGTCATGATCCCCAAAGCTGCACAGTGCCAGTAACTGGGTAAGCCTCTGTTGGGTGGATTTCTCTCCTTCCTTTGAGTGGAAAAGTTTTCCATTAATAGCTGTATGTTCTCCAGCCAGGTGGAGGAGACTGTGCTAGCTAACCCCTTACAACCACCAACGAGGCATTGCCAATTGTGTCCTCTCTTGGCCACCACGGCACTGGGCTCCCACCATGTTCCTTTTCTCACTGTTTGTCCATTCTCAGTTCCATCCCCCAAACCCTGAACACCTGAATAGTTTTGAAACCTCTTCAAGAATATCTCAAATCCATGCCCTTCTTTAATATCACCCACACCCATGTCCGCTACCACCCGTTTATCTCTGTCTTCCCATCTTGTGTCTGTGCGTTTTTGGCCATGATCTCAATTTATAATCTCAGTTTCTTCTAATTTTTGATTGTTTATTTGTGGTCTGCTTTCCAAGCTGGAAGGAAGGGAAGGGATGTGTTTCTCTAACCATTTTATTCCTAACTATTATCATGAAGCCTAGAACATAATGAACACTCAATAGATGTTACTGCATGGATGGATGTATGGGGAAACTTAAATCCGTGGTATCACCTGGATTCTTAACTCCAAACAACCCATTGCTGGACACATGGGCCATGTAGAGGAAGCTCTGGCCCAGAGGCTAGTTGGATGGCTTGATTCAGTCCAGCCCTTCAGAGACCACAAGGTCTAGCAGACATTACCCTTGAAGAGGGGATACCTGCCCTGTTTCTAGAGCCCAGGGGAGCTCTCTCTGATCCTGGTCACCAAACCAAGATTCTCTGCTGATCATTTGCCCACCGTCTCAACCCTGTCTGAAGTCTGAACAAGCCTGTCCTCTTTGACCAGCAATTGGCAAAGAAACAGCTTTCAGCCCTGACCCCTGACCACAGTAAGACTCAGAGGAGAGCCTGATAAGAGGCCTGTGAGCTGCACATGTACGTCTCAGAGGGTGATGCTTAATAGCTTGAAGGTGACATCAGGGTTGAGAGTAATATCCGATTGAACAGAGAGAGACATGACCTAACTCGTCTCTCACCACGGGCCTGGCTGCAAGAGATTCTCTGTCTTTATTAGTTTCCTAACCAGAGCTGCTGGCTCAGGACTCTGGGCTGTCCCCAGAGCTGGGGCCCACGGCTGGGCTTAACTCCAACGTGACTGGGAAGGCAGCAGGCTTAGCTGGGGTCTGAGAACCCCCGTGAAGCACATTCACCATTGAATCTGGGCTTTTCTTAGCCAAAGGTTCTTAGCCTGTGATTGGCTTTCTCTGCCACCCAGCACAGTTACCACTCTTTGAGAAGTTCCAAGGAGGGCAAATCCCAAGTTTCGAAAGTTCTTCATGGTACACAGGAAAACTTGCCGCAAACTTTCATCATGCTGCAGGCGTCCCCAGTGGCTATGAGGGATGGTTTTATTTGTGTTTTTAAAGATGATTTAAACCCAGTTTTCCAGGAACACAAATCCTGTCTAAAGCACCCAGCACACCTGGCTAAGGGCTGCAGGCCTGTGTCTGAGCTGGCAACCCTCTAGGGGCTAAGCTCTCTCCAGTTATTTTCCTTTAATATTCTCTGCATTGCAGGAGGAGAAATCCCTCACTCCTTATCACCTTCCTCCCCAGCTCCTGTCCCATGCACAAGTACACACACACACATACATACATACACACACACAGAGACTTGGGAGACTGACAGGCTTAGGGGCCAGCATGAGTTCTGCCACAGACTTACTCTGTGGCTTTTGGAAGTCACCAACCTTCACTGAGCCTCAGTTTCCATATCCCAGTGGCCTGCAGAAGTTGTGCTTGATTTGTTGAAAAATGCTTCTACAAAGAAGAGATCATGTTTTACTCGCAGTCTGATGGGAAGATGAGAGTCATTCCTTCATTCCACAAAAATATTTCTCAAGTGCCAAGCATGTGTTAAGTCTTAGAGATGATCAGTGGAGGCATAGGCAGCCTGTCCCCAGGACAGTGGGGTAAGGTCTACAGAGGACCTTGCACAGTACCTGGCTCAGAGTGGGCCCTCAGTGGGCATGAGCTCCTCTCTGTCTCTCACATATGCATACCTTGTCATTGTCGCCATCATCATTGTCATCATCACCTCGCAGTGTGGGGGATGGACCCAGGGCCTTGCACATGGTTAGCATGTACTCTACCCCTATCTCAGATACAACAAACTCTGGTCTATAAGGAGACTGAAACCCGGGGAGAATCAGGCAGGAGGAGCCTGGGTTTTAGTAGCTATTCTCCTATTCATTTGCTGTGTAAATTTTAACTAGCCTGCTACCTCCCTAGACCAATGTTCTGTCTGCAAAAGTGAACATTCTAGTACTTGCTGTGCCCTGAATACAAATGGTAAATGCTCTGTGAGCAAAATGTTTTCGAAGCACCAGCTATAAACAGCTGTAAGCAGCTGAGAGGCAGTAGAGGACAGCAAGAAGGTCAAGGGCTTCCAAGATGATGGGTCCAGATTTGCTTTCAACGTGTGGGCCCAGAACAGAATCTCTACCTACTTCCACAGTGTGGCCACACACCACAGCCCCTAAGTGCACCTTCAGTTTTTAAATCAAACCCCCCCACACCTTCCATAAGGTGTCACTGAGATCTTGATCCAGTGGCACCTAGGGAGGGGCAGCCTATTTAGAGGCGTCCCAGGAAGGAACTGGAGAACGGAGGCACAGGGTGCCTCCTGGCAGTATTCTCCCAGGAGGCCTGGCAATGCCACTCAGGCCATGGTCATTTCTCACCTGCCCACTGTCCTTTCATTCTGTCTTTCCAAGGCTCTCCCCGCTGGAACCTCACCTTTCCTTCCTGCATAACCAACCCATGAAAGATCTTCCCAGAAATGGTGAGGTGCCCTGTAGGTGGCCAGCCACATGGCTAAGTCCCCCTCCAGAAGGAGAGAGCCAATGCTGAAGGCTATTTCTTCTCGTAGAGGGTGAAGAGGCCCAGTCCCCTTAAAATGCTTTTCCATCCTCAATCCTGACAGACCTGAAGAGATGCTATTGCCACAGTCTTTGGGGGGCTGACAGGACTGTGGGATGCTGGGGGGCACTGGGACGGCCAAGGCTGCAAGGCTGCACGATCCCTCAGCCAGGACCAGTTTCTTTCAACTCAAGAATTTGTGACCCTTCTGGGCCTGTGGTGCAGGATGCGGCGCCTTCATCCCTTAAATCCCCTCTGTGCGTCCCCCAACGGATCTCTGTGGAGCAGATGCCAGGGGTGGGGAGGAGGACACAATGCCCCTCTTTGTTGGGGGGATCTGGGCCAGCAGTCAGGGGAGGAAATTAGACAGCGCTCCTGACAGCAGGCCCCGTCTGGGTGTCTGTGAAATATGGGCCAGAGGGGCTCTTTCCTGAGGCCAGTCATGGCTGCTGGCCACCCCCACCCCTGCTCTGGGCAGAGGGGACACTGCCTGTTTGAAGAGAAATGATATATGACTCCCAGCTTCCTTCCCTCCTCTCCTGAGGGGCTGAAGAGAGTTCTGAGAGATTGAGGGAACTTATGGCCGCTTCTGGTAGGTATGGGTGTACGTGCGTGTGTATGTGTGTGTGCCTGTGTGTGCATGAACATATGAGTGTGTGCACAGTGTGGGTGTTTTGTGTCTTTTTGAGTGTTTCTCTTGATCCATGGCCAGAGGAGAGGGTTCAAGATACTGGCCAAAAAAACATGTGAGCCAACATGGCTCCTTCTTTTAGCAACCCCAGCCCAGGATGAGGACCTTTGGAAACTGGAGCCTAAACGAAATTCTTTAGAGAGTCATGTTATGAGGGGAAGGGGTAGCAGCTGCCTAAGCACCCTGTCCTCTGAGTCCATCCTCCAAGAAGTCACCTCACAAGGTAGGAATAGTTTTTATGACCAAGTTACCTCCTGTCTTAGGGAGGCTTCTAATCCAACCGTGGCCTGAAGAGCCTCCAGCGGCCCCTGAACCATTTGTCTTCGAGAGAGGAAATGGGAGGATATTCCCACACACCCACCTCCTTTGTGACCAGTCAGGTCTCCACATCTGGGCCGCAGCTGGCTGCAGAGTTGCCCTTACAAGCCTGATCTCTCCAAATGACAAGAAGACAGAGAACTGTTGACAGAGGGCTCCAAAACCACGTCAACCCTTCAACAAGCTGGGAACCATAAAGGGTTGGCCTCAGTTTCTACATCTGTGAACTAGAGCCAAGGACAGGGGCAGCCCTGCCTACTGAAAGATCTGTTGGGAGAATTAAAACTAGAAAATATGGAAATAATCATTAAGCTCTAAAGGGCAGTCCAAGGTGGGTGACAGGTATACCTCCAATAATGTCTGCCAGGTATTGCTACAGGTGACATTTGGGATGGGTGGGTTCTATGAGTGAAAGAAGATAGTATGTTTTTACATCTGAGTTAGAAAAGTCTGTTCACTGTTGCTGCTCACCATAATCTGTTGAAATAGGAGTCTGTTCGCACACCCATTATGCACATGAAGACACCAAAGTTTTTGAAACGGGGAGGAACTTATCCAAGTTCTCACAGCTCCTCTGTGATGGAAATGATGTCACCTTACATAGTGTCATTTGGGTTCTTGTAGAATTTGTTAAAAAGCCCTCTTTAAAGAGTCAAATTGACAAAGCTGGGTGGGGAGCTGACTGGGTATGATGTCACATGCCGGGAACCTTGACTTAGGTGAATTATTGCCACATACTAACCAGTTTCTGAGATTTGAGTGCTTCCTTTTCCCCTGTCCTGTTTACCTGAGGAGTATTTGTGTCTTCAGAGCAACATTCTGTGCTCTGTCTTCTCTGCCATTTGGCCACCCCTGTCCTTGAGCCAGGAATTTCCTCCAGGAAGAAGCCAGGTAGTTATATGATGCAAAGGAAAGAATCTGGCTTTAGGGCCAAACAAATGGAGTTGGATTCCCAGCTTCACCTCTTCTTTGGGACTCTGCCCAAGCCATGGTTTCTGAGCCTCAGTTTCCTCATCTGAACTGACTCATCCGTGGCTCTGAAATGTCTTTGAATATTCAGTGAATTAACTAACCCACATGGAAGAGCCCAGCCTGGGGTCCAGCACTTAGTCAATGCTCAGGGAGAGGGGGTACCTTTGTTTTTCCCCCACTGGGGAAGAATTTACATGTAGAGATATAAGATGAGTGAGTCCCAGGGAGCAGGCAGACGAGACCTTACCAGCTCTGGCCACCAGGGTCCTAAGAAAAGGAGCTAAGCTTCAGTGAGACAAGTCCAGAAAAACTGGTGAGGACAAGTTCAGAAACATGCATGGGCTAAGAAGTCCCTGGGAGAAGCAGGGAAAGTTGCTTCTCGAAAAAAAATCAATCTCAAGAAAAAAATTCACTCCCTCCTGGGGAATCTTAGGAACAAACACCATTATGTGCAGAGTTGATAGGGCCTTGAAGATCACCTTATCCAGCTCCTTTACCCATGCAGAAACTGAGGCACAAAGAGAAGAGATTAGTTTTGGGGTGACAGAAGGCATTCAGGGCAGACTCCCAACTCCCTCCAGTGTTCATTGCATCTCGAAGGCTGCCTGGGTGGGACTGGAAGAGGGCCTAAGTGTGTCATGGGAAGGGAGAGAGAACCTGCTCCTAACTACTGGAGGTCAGAAAGGGACAGGAGGGAGGGCGTGTCCATTGGCAGCATCCAAAGCCTGGACCCCACCCCTCTGTCCTGGTGTACTTGCAACAAGTCCCATCTGCCAGAGGAAACTGGCTGGCCAGCCCTGGAGGTCCCTATCTGTCTAGACTGCTCCTGGCCCATCCTGCCGAGAAAGGAGAAACTCTCCACTCAAAGTGGGGCAGGGGCAGGCAGGATGGCCTTGGAGTTCTCCGACAGCTCCGGAAGTCTGCACACGGAGTCTCTGGAAGACTGAGAGGTGTTGTCTCTGCAGAAAAGCCGTCGGACATTTCCGTGTGACGGTGACACAAACCATTCCTTCCTCCATAATCACCCTCGCTGCAGGGCTGGCTCAGGGCAGACAGCCTGCTGTGCACGGACTTTATTTTAAAATCCCTCTTGCTTTTTTTTTTTTTTTTTTTATCCCTGTGAATGCCTGAACTCCCAGGCAGAGGAAAGCACTCAAGTCTGTCCTTGAGTGTGCTGGTGGTGATGTGATGTCCCAGACGGGACCCTCCGAGCTCTGCAGCAGGAACAAACCCCCTGCTGATGTAATTTAAAAGAATAACCTCCCAATTTTCTCATCTCCCTTTGCTGGATACACCTTATCAAATGACAGGAGAAGCCAATGTTTGGTTAAATGGTTCAGAGGTTAATTCTCAACAGATGCGAGAAGTTTTTTCCCTTCTTTTCCTCCGCCTTAGAGGGGATCTGGTCAGCTCTTCTTGCTGGATTCATGAGGCTAGAAAGGAAGGATGGGGGAGGGAGGGACAGTCTTCCCATCATGCCCATCGAGGGAGTCCATTCTCCCCAGCCACTGTCAGCCCCTCAGGGTCTCAGGCTGTGTCTGGAGCCTCCAAAGAACCATACTTTGGGCAGGGCCCACCAGAACCACACTTTGGGCAGGGCATGGTTACATTCAGGAAGGTACAATGTGTCTGCCCTGTGAGGTAAATATGTGCAGCTTACAGAAGGGAAAACTAAAAGGAAGGAGAGCAATACAAGTAAGATTCTCAAACTCAATTCTCCATGCTTGGGGGAAATTATTTTTTTATATTTTATTTTTTGGGTACCAGGCATAGAACCTAGGGGCCCTTAACCACTGAGCCACATCTTCAGCCCTTTTTTGTATTTTATTTAGAGGCAGGATCTCACTGAGTTGCTTAGGGCCTCACTAAGTTGCTGAGGCTGGTGTTGAACTTGTGATCCTCCTGCCTCAGCCTCCTGAACTGTTGGGATTACAGGCGTGTTCCATCATACCTGCTGGGCAGATTATTGAGTCTCCCTGAAACTTTACTCATAAGGCGGATACAATCATTTACATGGCAGGGATGTTAGGAAGACTTAGAATTCTTCTGGGAAACCGGATGTTCACTTGCTGCCAGTTTCACCCCAAATTGCTGACCAGTAGCAAAGAGAAACAAATATATTGCCTATGAAGAGATCTGACTTCTCTTGTCATAATCCAGTGATCAACTTTGCATCACAAGTCACAGGGTACTCACAAGTCACAGGGTGCTTCCTGAGGAGATGCTGCATGGAGTGCCCCAGATGGCCCAGAAACCTCCTTGTCCAAAATGGTTCACCTAACT